TGTGACTGTGACTATCCCTGACTAAGTTATGTGTACACAACAGACTTCTCACACTTCTGGAGGCTGAAAGCCTGAGATCACATACCAGCGTGGCCGGGTTTCTTTCTAGGGCTTCTCTCTGGATAGCAGATTGGCTCAGCTGCGTTATCCTCACCGGAAGAGCTGGAGAGAGCCTCTGAGAGTCTTTCCTAAGAGTGGCTAGGTTTAAATATCTCGCTGTACTAGTTATTTTCTGTTCATCCATGTAGTCTTCATTCTCAGCCTTCCTTTTCAAACACCTTCCTTGGATTAGCTATTTTTTATGATGCTATTTTGTTTCTTTTGTTGGTTTACAAGAATGACTGTCTCTGTGATAAGGGAATGTTTGTACAGAGTCTGTGTTCTTTTCAAAGGCATATGTTTTCAGATACTAGCAGATCTGTGAACTTTTCCTTTGTTATGGTCTCAAGCCTATGGTTTCAAAATCTGATATATAAGGTATATCATTAGGTTCAGTGTCCAAATAATGGGTGTGTCTATACTTAGCGTGGGCCTGAAGGATGATGAAAGGAACAGCAGTAAACACTCAGCAAGCTCAGCTGTTTCTTTATCTACACTTGTTGGGGACCTACCCCGATTTCAGGCTGTTGAGAAGCTGACACAGGCAGGGTCCTAAGGTGGGAACCACGTCTTTGGCGAGCGGATATTCCAAAAATTGGGGAGTAAAGGGAAGCAGGAGTGAGGAAGACATGGGAGTCAGAATTGGGTGCAAATCTTCCTGCTCTGCCTTCAGCAGAGGTTTATTTTATACATTTCAAGCAGGCAGAGGGATGACATTAGCATATGAAAGGGGCTGAGATCACAGTCACCTTTTTTCTAAGTATAATCTGGGGTCATTTTGACCTTTACTTGAGATTATAACATTTTTTTTTGAGATTATAACATTTTAAAATCAATCTATCAAGGTTAAAACAGGTACATAGATGCACAAAGTTTAAGTCTAATATCACTACAGTGAGGATTAACTAAAATAAAGTCCCTTAAACCATATCTACTACTTAATGGTTTTTTTCTTCTACTTGAGACAACCTAGGAGGCAGGAAGAGGAAATTTCTTGTAAATTAAATTATACGGAAAAGTTCTTTGAAGAAACTTGTTAGAAAGTTTTAAGTGAATTTCCTTGAGGTCTAGACAGTAGAAAGTGTAATTAGCTCTGAATAGGAGACATAAGTGAATTTCCTTATCTAAAGACTAGATAGTAGAATCTTGGAAGACTACTTAGAAGACTTATGTGAATTCCTTTGAAGTCTAGCAGGTAGAAAACCTGATTAGCTCTGAATAGGCAACTTGGATGAATTTCCACATCTAAAGGCCAGACAGTAGAAAGTTTGAGTAATTTTTTAGAAGCCAATAGAAGGCTAGGTGAGATAGCAATGATAAGATTTAGGGTTTCCTCCATCCAGCAGTGAGAGAGACTTTGCAGTAACAGCCCTTTTGCTTTTATTGATCAGCCAGTTGTCAAGTCACTTTTGACTTCAAGAGGAATTTCTCACCCTGGTGCAGTGCTTGCTTTTCAGGGCCAGGTAGTGCCTTCTGAGGCTGAGGAAATCCAACTGTAAGCTGAAGGTTGTTCAGAATATTTTCATATTACACTTATACAAAAAAGGGAGGTCATAACATAAGTCAGCGTGGAAAGTCTGCTTTTTCAGAGCATTTCCCCTCCATCCGTACCATGTCTGTCAACAGAGGTTGCATAGCTTGTGTCATACACCCATTCACCAGATACCATCTTCTTCACCTTAACAAAGATATAACTCCAGTAAGTATCTTCCACCTCTCTTAAATGACTAGTTTTTGCTTTCTTTTGAATTATTTTCATCAGGATATAGTGATTATTTTTATCAAAGCACCACCTGACCTTCCTTGTCCTGTGTGTTACAGTCCAATTCTTTGTTTCTCTTACATTTCATCTACTTATGTCAAAAGTCCACCAATCATGCCTCGTCTCCATCTCTCTTTAGAGATACTCTTGCTTACGAGGTCAGCAGTTTCTTCTGTGTTGCTAAAGCCTATGGTCAGTTCCCAGGACTGTCTTTATTTGACTGGTCACTCCATAGGACCTCCTGACCCCGTGGCTTTCCTCATGTTGCTTGTGCCCCAACCTGAGTCAAGTCTGGACTTTACATCTCTGAATATTTGCAGTTGAGGGTTCCCTCCCTTCCTGTTGTGGTCTCCCTCCTTATTCACCTCTTGTGATCTCAGGCAGACTCATGGGTCTTAATGCCAACTGTATAGTGCTTATTTCTGAAATTCCAGTACAGTGCAGTCTCTGATTTGGGTCTCCCTCCTGCGGTTGCAACTCCTGCTCAACATCTCACTTGCATGTATTAGTAGAGCATCCTGGTTGTGCCCCTGCACAATTTACTTCTCAATAATTGCAATGAACAAAGTAGAACAAAGAATGACAACTTAGGAATGTATCTGGCTGACAGCCATTCCTCATTCAGTCTGCCATCAGTGGTCTAATCTCACAAACAGGATGTAGACCTGGTTACTTAAGTATTGTCAGCTTACATGTGCATGAGATAAGTTCTAATTGTGTGCAGTTGGAATGAATATCGATCTCCAGTGAACGGGGGAATAAAAAAAATCCTCTACCGCAGATTGTCTGAGAAGTACTAGCCTAGTAAACATTTCAAATTCATTGTAGCCACTAAAAAAGCAGTTATTAAAATAACATAATTTCACATGCATAAGTATATCAATAACACCAATAACTTTACAAAGTTGTTAGGAGGGCAATCTCAAACCCAGTCTGGTTACTTATTTACCCATATGTCCAAGCAATATATGAATGAAAACTCACTATAAACAATTTAAGCAATGTGAAAGTTCATAGTTAAAAAGCTCTCTGTTCACCACTGCTGCCTTCCACACTAATTCTAACAACTGTTTTAGAGAGATTTCTTCCACAGTCAATATGTGCACTTTCATAGTGGATGCAGACAGTTTTACTTTTTTTTTTTTTCAAATGAAGTTGTATGCTTAAAATATTTTGTAATCTGATTCTCTCCTTCCCCTAACCCCTCCCACTCCCCCACTAAATAACTTACTTCAGATGTACTGATCAGTTCACATATACATGCCCCATAATAATTACAGTAAGCAGCATAGCTTTTAAGATTAATTCCTTGGAAGCAATCTGCTATACTGTTTTTGGTTATATAGCACTATTATGATGAACATGTACTTCTTGATCTGTACCTTGCACACCTGTACAATAGTCTGGGACACCTATTCTTGGCACAGTCAACAGGTATATCTGAAATGTTGATATTCACTAGTTCTCCAAAAATGCTGTCACTCAAACTTCAACAATGCATAAGTGTGACTATTTCAACATTGAATTTGACCAGTCTGCTTGATTTTTGCCAAGCTCATAAATGAAAATTATCTTTACAGCTCAAATACATATTTTCACATATTTATTAGTTAATATTCTATTACTTACCTATTGTATTTTCCATTCTGTTTCTCAGTCAATAGAATGATATATAATCATATGCTTTATGGATATTTAATCATTTGATATATTGCAAATATTTTCCCCATTCTGTTGTTGGTTTTGTTCCTTTTTTTTTTTTTTTTAGTTTTATTGAGTAAACATTGTTTTACAGCATGGAATATAATTCAGAGGGAGAGGATCACACCTAGTCAGGTGTATATCACCACATTACACCCACCACCAAATAATCCATAATTTTCTACCACAATCCACCAAATTTTCTTAAAGTTTACAAGTAAATGCCTGCAGATACATCTGAAATTGTTCCGGACCCACCAACATGTCTTGAGCATTTACTTTATAAAATGAAACCTCTTCCTTTTTTTGATCAAACATTTTGCTAATAGTTAATAATTACCATGCATTGAGAGGGCAATGGCTTCTTACAGTACAGAAAGGTAATATTCTTATCGTAAATAATTTAACACCTTATTCTAACTTCAGGTTTCCTTTTGAATTCACTGAAGAAAAAAAAAATCTGTTAGTAAGTATTCTTTTTACATTCCCCTGGGAGAAAATTAAATGGCCTTTTTAATTAAATGGACTTTATACCACCTGATTCTATGCTGCAAGTTTTAAAGCAACCTTTCAGATTGTATGAGAAGTAGGCTGTGTGTGTTACTAGGAAAACCTCACTGGTTAAAAAGTGTCAGGTTCACACTGGTTAAAAAGTGTGAGGTATTCCTAGTTTGTTACCCCATTATTCTAAAGGGCTCCTCATCTTCTCAATATAAAGATGTGAGGGTCAGTGCAGGTGCTCCTGAAACCAAACTGTCTCTCTACAAATTCCTGCTATGTCACTTGCTGAATATGTAAGTTTGAGCGAGTTTCTGGATCATTTGAAATGCCAGTTTTCTATTTTTAAACTAGCATTAAGAGTTGTAAAGAAGAGGATCTCACTATTAGGAAGCTATCTACAGCCACTGCAGTGAGTTCTGCAAGCAGGGAGCTGACCCACAGGGTACAGCAGACCTCTCCTGTCTCACCTGCTCCCCTCAGTAGTGTTTTAGTAGATTGCCAGTTCTGCTTCCACTCTGTCTCTGGTGGATCTTCTCACCACCCCAACACTTCTGGCCTATACCCCAGCTTTTACAGGCATAAATAAATTTTAGAAAATAGCTGTGAAGAAAAAAATGACAGGCAATATCAAAATATGGTACGTTTTGAATAAATAAAGAGTACTATACCTATTCTCTTTAACTGGGTCATTATCTTCTCTCTGGAAGTACTTCTATCCCACTTTATGTCAAGTTTGTGTAAAGCCTTACCACTCTGTTGACTGAAATGAAATGCTCCATGATATTTAGATAGATAGTTTATTGGATAATCAAAGTGAGCATTTGAACCTGGAAACAGTCTTTGAGATTTTATTCTGAGAACTGCTGCGACAACCCCAAACTTAGAGTCACTTTATATTGTTTGTTACAGAGTTAGCAAGCTTCCAGAGAAAGGAACAATGAGTCATCAGCATCAAACGTGTAATCATCCTCGACAGGGGTCTCTGGGTTTTGTAAGTTTAGATATTTTGATTTCCTAAGTTATGTCGACCTAAGAAGTTTGGGTGCCAGAGGAGGGCAAATGCTGGCAATTAATCATTTTCAGGACTTTGAAGAATGCACTGTGGAGGTGCAAAGGCTGGTGCCCATTGTGAAATCTCTCTTCCGTTCCTTGATCTTTAGTGGAGGTTAAAAGGTTGGCTTTGCTGCAGAAATTGATTTCTGCTTTACAGCACAGGGTGAAATGGCTTTTCTTTTCAGATGTTTGGCTCCCTTGCCTGCTAGACCAGGGAGGAGTTTCCAGAATCTTCATTTTATGATCGTAACTACTATATTGGTCCTGATTTTTTTTTTAATTATGACACAGATGTATAATATTGAATAGGTCTTGAGATAAAGCTTTTATGGTATAATTATAACAAAACAGAATTCATGCTAAGAATTTACTACCAAACACTTAGTGATCTCTGACACATAAGCCACTGTCATTGCCCTCTTTAGCTGGTGGGAATCAGGTATCGTAATTTTGCAATTAAAGAATCTTTTAGCTCTCTTTTTAAGGAGTTGGGTTCCAAGATAGATAGTTTAGAACATAAATACATTTGAAAGGCGTGTGTGTGTGTATCTAGCATTTGTTGCATACTTACTGTATTCCAGAAACTTGTGGTACACAGCCTGCATTGTTTTTTGTTGTCGTTGTTGTTGTGTTTTTGTCTAGCTTCCTTCCTTGCTTTACCAAATAAAACAGTTGGGGCAAGAATAGAGGGCGTTGAAGAGGGTTAACTGAATGACTTGACTGCAGTAAGCGCTGAAGTGTTCGACTTAACAAGTGCTTAATAGTTTCAACATTCCCCCATTTTCAGGGCACTGGGCAAACTGACATTTCAGTGCTATTTTTCCTTTTTTTTTTTTCTTTCACCTCCCAGATGCTCCTGGAAAAGAAGGGAAGCTGTTGGCCTAGCCTTGGCCTCCATCTCAGAAACCTGACTCCGGGCTGGAAGCTGAGCCCAGTGGAAGGGCCAGGAGGCGGGGTCCAGAGCGCCAGGGTAGCCCTCGGGCCAGCACCCCCTGCAAGCCAGACACCCACCCTCCCGCTTTCCCCGCCTCCTCTTCCTCTCCCCTCCCGCCCTTGCGCAGGCGGAGCACCGGCTCTGCAGTGTTTTGTCCTGAGCAGGGACCCTTCCTAGGGCTGCGGAGCCGGCGGCTGCGAGCGCGGCTTGTGGCGCTGAGGGAGGCCCGGCCGGCGGCCTGGGGGCGGCCAAAGGTGGAGG